GCCCCCCTTCCCTGAGTGGCTGCCAGTCAGCCGGGCGAGCAGCCGGATTGGCTGGGGGCGGCTGTTGCCCGGGAGCCGCCGCTCCGCCCCTCCGCCCCCTCGCCCGCCCGCCGGTACTCCCCCGCCCTCCCCAGGGCACTGGGAAGGGGCGCAGCGTGGGAAAAGGGTGGTTGAGTTTTAACCAGAGGCAGAGCGTGAGCGGGATCAGTGTGTGCGGAACGCGAGCAGCCGAGCGCGGAGAGCGCCGCTGCTGTTAACTCCTCCCTGCCCGCCGACCCTCCCCCGGAGCCCCTGCGCAGCCAGCATGAAGCGAGCCCACCCCGAGTACAGCTCGTCAGACAGCGAGCTGGACGAGACGGTAGAGGTGGAGAAAGAGAGTGCGGACGAGAATGGGTGAGTTGGCGGCGGTGGAGCGGAGCCGGGGCGGGAGGCGGGCGCCGTGACAGCGAGCGAGGGCCCGGGGCGCTACCCTCTGCGCGCTGCCGGCTGGCCACCCCCCGGGGTCCGGGGCCCCGAGGCGCTTCCCAGCCCAAGTTGCTGAAGCAGTCCGATTGCGGGGAGGGCAGGGGGGCGACCTCTCGGATCTCTCCTGTTTAACGGTGATTCCTGTGTCCCCCCTTCCCCCCCCTCCCCCCCGTTTCAGAAACTTGAGCTCGGCTCTAGGTTCCATGTCCCCGACTACATCTTCGCAGATCCTGGCGAGGAAAAGACGGAGAGGCGTGAGTCTGTTTACAATACTCCTTTTTTTTGTTGTTATTAATGAACGGAAAGAACCACCTTCCTTCTCTCTGAAATTTACAGTCGTAACGGAAATGTCCGCCTTTGTTTTGCCTGCTTCCTACAGATCATTGAGAAACGCCGACGAGACCGGATCAATAACAGCTTGTCCGAGCTGAGGAGGCTGGTACCCAGTGCTTTTGAGAAGCAGGTAATGGAGAAAGTAGGTAGGGCTTTCGGGGTAGCTGTGTGTACCTGCTGAATCCACCGCCCGCACCACCTCCATTAATCTGATTCTCATCTGCGTCTTGGAAAATTGCCGTGTACCGAGCAGATGAATTCGTACACAGATGACATATTTGCCAAGACAGCTTGTTTTGCTTCAGCACGCACTTGAGGATTTACAAAGTACTTCTACAGATAATGTTGTTTTGTTTTCTTTTTTTTTTAAGTTGGCCCCCCAAAGGCATTTGGAGCCAAATCATTTTTGCCATTCTGTTCTCTAGGGATCTGCTAAGCTAGAAAAAGCCGAGATCCTGCAGATGACCGTGGATCACTTAAAAATGCTGCACACTGCAGGAGGGAAAGGTATATACACCTTGTGGTTGGGGTGGGGTCTCTGAGTGGCTGGGGTAGGGCGAGTAGAGGCTGCAGGCCAGGACTGGCCAAGTCGCTGCCCCGTGTTTATCCTATGCGTTGGCGGTGGGGCGAGAACTGTGTGCCAGTACGCTTTCAGATGCACGCTGCGTTTTCCCCAGTGAATTCATCACCCCATGACTCTGCATATTAAGCTAGTGCAGAGTATACCTCTAGCACCTTCTGTTGGAAAATGCCTACTATCTCTGAGTGGCCCTATCGTTGTGACAGCTCTGATTCAAATCACCTAGCTCTCACATTTGTCCGTTGTATTTTTTGAGAAAAAGCTTTTTCTTTCTTTTTTTTTTTTTAAGTAGCTGGTCTTACTTTTACATACACGGTTTTAAAAATGAGCTGCCTCATGACTCTTGAGGAAAGAACCTTGTGGTTAAGGAACAGAAGTCAGAGACCAAGGTCTGTCTGTGTGTCTGTCTCCAGCCGGAAAATGCTTTACTGAGGACCAAGCTCCTAAAAGCTCCATGATGATAACTTACATCTGTGTGTCTAATGAATTTCACTGCTCTGTGGTTTCTCTGTCCTTGATGTATTTTCTGTTGTTGTTGAGGGTAAACATTAAAGGGATGAACATAGTTTCATCTGCTGGTAGGGTATAATTCCAGTTTCTGCTTGGCAGTTTCTAATTGGACTTTGAACTTGCATTAGCGAATGCACACTGCTCACGTTGATTAATGCAAAGAATTTGGTTGACTTCAAAATATTTGGGTTTTCAGAGGAACGCGTGTGTGCGCGTTTTAAGGATGTAGGTATTTGCCAGGAAGGGGCCGCCTTTGAGATCGAAGAAATGAGGGAAATGATTAAGAGCAAAGCCCTGAGGTTTTTCTTTTGTTCTCTTCCTCAGGCTATTTTGACGCGCACGCCCTGGCGATGGACTATCGGAGTTTGGGATTTCGGGAATGCCTGGCAGAAGTTGCCCGTTACCTGAGCATCATTGAAGGATTAGACGCCTCTGACCCGCTTCGAGTTAGACTGGTCTCGCATCTCAACAACTACGCTTCTCAGCGGGAAGCCGCGAGCGGCGCCCACGCAGGCCTTGGACACATGCCCTGGGGGAGCGCCTTCGGACATCACCCGCACATCGCGCACCCCCTGTTGTTATCCCAGAACAGCCACGGGAACGCTGGCACCACGGCCTCGCCTGCGGAACCGCACCACCAGGGCCGGTTGGCCCCTGCACATCCGGAGGCGCCCGCCTTGCGAGCGCCCCCTAGCGGCGGTCTTGGACCGGTGCTCCCCGTGGTCACCTCCGCCTCCAAACTGTCGCCGCCTCTGCTCTCCTCGGTGGCCTCTCTGTCCTTCCCCTTCTCTTTTGGCTCCTTCCACTTACTCTCTCCCAATGCACTGAGCCCGTCGGCACCCACGCAGGCAGCAAACCTTGGCAAGCCCTATAGACCTTGGGGGACGGAGATTGGAGCCTTTTAAAGAACTGACTGACGTTGTAGAAAGGGGGAAGGGAAAGCTTAAAATCTCAGCTGAGCTGGACTGTTGCCAACATCACCTTAAAGTCGTCAGTAAAAGTAAAAAGGAAAAAGGTACACTTTCACATAAACTTCGTTTAAAAACTAAAGGTGGTTGGTTTATTTTTTTTTAATTTTTTTTGTACTATGTCATGTATTAGCAGTTTTTAAAAACTAGTTGCTAAATTTTCTTCAGAGCATTAAATTGGAGTAGTAAGTATAAGCCACCATGCTGCGATAGGTCTGTACTGTGCCTGATTTACTTTGTAAACGTATCTGTCTATGAATGATTCCGTTTTTGCCTCAAAGTTTGGGGAATTGTAACATTTAGGTCTGTTTTTCTCCTTGTATAATTATGGTTTGTTTTTAGAATTAATTTTTCCAAACCACTATGCTCAATATTAACATAATTCTATTTGTTAATGTTTTGACAGATTAAGGTGTTGTATAAATAATACGCTCTTTTTTTTTCTTTTTGGGAGGGAGCTATACTGAGTTTTATATTTCTGAACAAAGCGTTGACAAATCAGATGATCAGCTTTATCCAGGAAAGAGGACTAGTTAATTTCCTGCCTCCTGCAGCAGCGAGGTGAATGTGCAGATCATCAGTAGCCCCGAATCCATGTGACCGACTGCTGTCGTCTGCTGGAACTCGCAGTTCTGGCGTAGTTAGGAGAGAGCCTCTCGCGGGTTCGGTCCCCACTCAAATATGGGGGCACGAGACAGAAGGTAATTGTATGGAATGTGCCCGAATTTGCCAGCCCCAAGCAATGCAATGAATTTTTAATCTCATAGACCTCAAATTCACAGATGTTTGAATGGATAAATGATCATGGTGTACAAGTGGTCGGTCAGGAAGTACAGTGGAACCTGTTACATGCATCCCTTGATTTTCCTGGGACTGCCGTATTTTCTTTGAACTGGAAATGCTTATGTTGTGTCTTCCTTTCGGTGCATGGGAATGTGGTTGTTGAGATATTTAAAAGGGCTTTGCCGCCCTCTTCTCTTTGGTTTATTTAATTTGCTTCGGGCTGTGAAAGTATCATTTTACAGTTTCATTTGTTGAGCAGGTGTGGTTCAAATGACCTCCACTGAACTGGATTTGACCTCTGTTGTACTGATGTGTTGTGACTAAATAAAAGAGAACAATTTAATCTGCTGTAAACGGTTTGCATACCTTGGCCTTTTCCTCTGTGGACTAAGAAAAGATATATTTTCTTTCCTTTTCATTTTGCCTGGTGATCAATGTTCTTATCTTTGCAGGTTTCATTATTCTCGGGATTCTAGAGTATGTGAGTCTGTGCTATTGAAGAAGGTGACTTCATTACAGTGTAGAGCTTTGACTTGACTCCCAGAAGGGGACACAGCCCTTCAGCCGTGATGTCACATGGCGTGGCCCTAAACTGGCCATCCGTGGACAAGGAAAAGCTCGAATCACTGGACTTGCAAGGGCAGGAAGGAACCCTGGTGAATACTTACTGAGAGCACCTACTGTGTGCTCAGTTACATGCTAAAAGAACAGAAAATTTATTTCATTTAATGTCTTTACAAAGGCAAAACAAAACCCCCCAAACCTTGCTATCTGAGACCCCGCTTTTGCAGGGGCTGGGGAAACTGGCGTGATGAACGGTGACAGGCTGTAATTCCACACCTGCGCAGCTCCAGGAGTCTGCCCCTGTCTTGTTTCCAAGGAATTTGCTTAACCCTTTAGCTGTGTTTGACTCCTGAGATGTGTGGTGAAGAAGCTGAACAAACCCTGCTAGAACAGGGGCAGTGATGCGGGCCAGGGAGAGGAGTGCCTTCCTGTCGCCTTAGAGGTAGTCCTGCCGGTTCAGGAGGGGCATCCACTGGAGCCAACAGACCGGAGCTTAGCTCGGAAGGAGTTTGCCTTGATCCTGAGGGTGGGGGGGAGGAGGGGGGAGAACTCGCTCTGGCAGATGACAGAAAAGAACCTTCCTTTTTCTGTGCTCGACCACTGGGTTCCTCCTCTCCTCTCAAATTAAAAAAGGAAGACAGAAAGGCAAATAGAAGTTTGTACTTTGAACTGGAACAGCGACCTCTGGGTCCCTATGAAGGGAACAGAGACTGCAGCATTTTTGTGATTGTAGGTTTCAAATGCTAGACCTTACCATTTCTCCCTGTGGCCTCAGCTTTGGGTCCCTGTTGCGACGCCCAGCTCTGTCCTTAGGGCCACCTGGGCCACGTAGACACTATTTCTGCCTGTAATAATGCCGTGATGGAACGTGCTGTGAGAATTTCTGGAAAGTGTTAGTTTAGTTTTAGTAACCTTGACTGCAAATGGCATCACGGCATTACCGAACAGCATCGTGCTTACACTGTCTTAGACTCTTACCGGACCTAGATTTAGAGGAAATCTATGCCTCTCATTTTGCTGAATTCTGCTGCAGGAGCTGTGGAGCTGCAAAAGAGATTACATGTTCCATCTGTCACATCAATGATACCTGCATCCTGCACCAGTTAGTACTCTTTCCCTTCATTTCTTTGGAGAGCGAGGGAGGGAGTGTTGGGAGGCCGTTTTCAAGATGACACAGTTTTCCCCAGAAAGAGTCTGGTTTCTTTTTAAACCCCTTCACGGTGACATATTGCTGGGAATGGCACAGGTCCCACTTCTATTCTGACTTGATGCAGTAAAAACCATTAGGGTCTTTAGTGTTAGCATGCATATTTTTATATTATACAAGTTTATAAAACATCTACCTATGTAAGCAAAAATGTTTAAATGGCTCATAAATGTATCCTTATGAGGAAAATAATATGACTGGTCCTAAAGAATCTTGAAAGGCCTCAATAATTGCCCATTTATTGTCATTAAATGTATTACTATGAATTAAGTGAAGGATAGAGAGGCAGAATTCTTGCATTTAAGGAAACTTGTGAAAGAAAAATCCAAGAAATATGGTTTCTAACTTATGTACTGTAGCTAAATTAGGAAGTGATTTTTATTCAGTTTATCTTCGTGGCACTCTGTTCCTCACTGAATCCATGATACAGGTCATCCCCGGCTTGTGACGTAGTAACGACAAATCACACTTACGACTTTTTTTTTTGGGGTACATCTTAATGTCAGTAATATATACTACATACAGTGTTGCAGCATGTGATCTGCTGCTGTTGTCATTCTCAGATATTCACTCACAGATGTTCAAAGATGGGATTTATAACGATACCAATAATAAAAGGCAATAATAATGAAAATTAAAAAAAAAAAAAGGATTCGACTTGCCTCAGAACTGACTTATGACGGAGTTGTTGGAATGGAACCCCGTTGTAAGTCGGAGACTACCTGTACTTTAAATATAGATTCCTTAACTTCACAATCCCTTCGGACTTGTTATAGTTCCTAGTTACACTTTTCCCCCAGCTCTTCTGGTCTATACCGGTGTCACAGCTTTGATACCTTGGTTAGTTTCCAGTGATTATTTATAATCAAAATAACTTGGGAGCAAACATCATCTGAGGCCCTGCTTCCAACGTGGCCCAATTTCTGTCATAGCTGGAGCTCCCTGGAAAGGAGGCATCTTGGGTGGAGAACCTGAATTCTGGTTCTGGCTCTGCTATTACCCAACTGGGTGATCTTGGGTAAGCCATTAACATTCTCTGGACCCAGCTTCCCTCATCCGTCAAATAAAGTGGTTGGACGAGATGGTGGTCCCAGAGGCAGGCTCCTGGGGTCCAGGCACTAACAGGAAGAGGGCGGTGACAGCCAGGTCCGTGATGACCCAGGGAACGTGCTCTTAGCACTGATGGTGTCTGAAGGTCTGTCTGAAGAGTCACGCCAACGGTTTCTAAGCAAGCATTCTGGTCTTTCACGTTTCCAAGAGCATCTGCAATTTTGGATTTTTATGTTAAATTGTCCACGTTTTATAGGGTGGTAACTAACTCACCAAAACCTGTCTACCAGCAAGTCTGGGCCAGTGGGCAGTAGCTTGCACCTTGGACCAGATGAGGGCTAAGATCTCTGCTGTTTCTCAGCTTCTATAGAACTAATCTGAATGGGGCTCTGGAGCACTAGAATTTTGTAATATCTTTGTCGTGATGGCCTTTGAATATGCTTAATGGATAAACAAAAAAACCCCACTGCCCTCAAGTCAATTCTGACTCATAGAGACCTGACAGGACAGAGTAGAAGTGCCCCATAGGGTTTCCAAGGCTTTAATCTTTACAGAAGCAGACTGCTCCATCTTTCTCCCTCAAAGTTTCTGGTAGGTTCTAACTGCCGAAATTCAGGTTAGCAGCTGAGCGTTTTAACCACTGCACCATCAGGGCTCCTAATGGATAAACACATCCCTAAAATAAAATCATCATCATAGTAATTAGGCAGCTGTTTACCAGTTGCCATGGAATCAATTTTGACTCCTGGCGACCCCACACGCGTCCGAGTAGAACTGTGTTCCATAGGGTTTTCAGGGGCTGATTTTTTGAAAGTAGATCACTAGGCCTTTCTTATGAGGCATCTCTGGGTGGACTCAAACTTCCAACCTTTGGGTTGGCAGCCGAGTGTGTTAACCCTTCGCACCACCCAGGAAGCTGAGATATAAAGATAATGGGCAATTTTTTTTTTTAAAATTACTTCTTGGTTGTCAAAATTCATCAAGAAAAAAGCAAAGCAAAGAGAGAGAAAGCTAAAACCATTGTTTGTGAAGGTGCTCTTGGGCTGGTCCCCTTTTGTTCACTTTACCAAGGAGGAAGAGGGTGGCTTTAAAGGAAAGAGTGAGTGTGTAGCTTGCTCGTGACTCAGCACACTGAAGGACTAAAAGGCGCCATCTGATTTCAGGAAGTAGGAGTCCCAGCAAAAAGCAAGCTGTTTTGAATCTCAACTTGAAATATAATGCCTGCCTCGAGCCGGATGAGCGCACCGCTTCTCACTCAGATGCTTTAGCGTTTTCCTCAGGAGGGGGCGGGGGGTGGCAACAGGGGAGAAGGAAGCCAATTAAAAAGAAACCCAGGCCTTTCTTTTTGAGCAGCCTGGACGTATGGACGTGCATCTGCACACTTGCCACAGAATGCTCCCCCAGGCCCACAAGTCCCAGCAAAACTGAGGTGGACAAATGTCCCTGAGACATAGGTCTGTGGAAGATGAGCGAGTGTCTGGATTTTGCGCCACTAGGCTGTAATATCATGCTTCTTTATAGTTCTTCTGTAAACTTTTCTATCGTATTTACCAACCAAAACTGGCTCAGGAAATTGATTCTGACTCATGGCGACCTCGTGTGTTTCCGAGTGGAACTGTACCCCCTAGGGTTTTGAATGGCTGTGATTTTTTGGAAGGAGATAGCCAGGTCTTTCTTTTGAGGCACCTCTGGGTGGATTCAAACTGCCAATATTTCATTGGTAGCAAAGCGTTTAACAGTTTGTATCACCAAAGGACGCCTTCATATTTACTATTGTGTTAATAATTTACATTCAGTTTTGAAATATACTCAAGTTAAGAGTCTACACTTAGATTTGAAAACTGGTAATCATTCGTAGGCAGCTGTTAGGTGTTCTACAGCTTGACTGAACAGAAAGTGACTTAAAAATGTCACATTTCAGGCAGAAAGGGACTGGCTGTAACGAATGAGAGAATAAAAAACCCGTTACCGTCAAGTCAATTCCAACTCGCAGTGACCCTACAGGACAGGGTAGAACTGCCCCATAGAGTTTCCAAGGAGCAGCTGGTGGATTTGAACTGCCCACCTTTTGGTTAGCATCCGCAGTTCTTTGAACCACTACGCCATGAGAATAGATTACTGAAAAATTTCTACAGTGATTTTTAGTTGTTTTTTTTAATTTAAACTCTCCGGGGGCATGGTTCGGTTTTTCAGTTTATGGGAATGTTCCCTAATGCCGAGTGGAATCACGAAATTAACGAATGAACTGTCTGAGTCTTCACTCATCCTCTCTGACCTCGTGTCCTACCCTTTGCCCCTCCAGCGCGTGCTGCAGCCACACTGGCTCTTGGTCGCTGCTGGAACGTGCTGAGGATGCTCTCACCTCTGGGCCTTTGCCCCGGCTGTTTCTGCCTGGAATGCTCTTCCCCCAGCTTCCTGCGTGGCCAGCTCTGTAGTCGACTCAGTACTCTTTGGAGGTCCCCATCTCCTTGGGATCTTCCCTTACCCCTCCTTTCCCCTCCTGCCACTTCCTTC